CTAAGATCTTGTAGTAGTCGCCACTTACCAGATTTTTTTTTAATGACAAAAATAGGGGTGTTCCAAGGGGAGCTACTGGGTGTGATGTGGCCTGCTCTAAGCTGTTCCTGCACCAGCTGTTGTGCCGCCTGTAGCTTCTCTGAGGAGAGAGGCCACTGATCGACCCATATGGCGTCATCAGATAGCCAGGTAATTTGTTCTGCATGGGTCGCAGGAAGATCAATGGCCCCTAGCAAAAATGGCCTAAGCCGGCTCTATCAGATTTAAGAGTGGGTTGGATGGGCTCTGTTATTCCTGAATTGTTTTTTCCTAAACTCTGACCAGGCAAAAATCTTTGATTTAACATGTGAGCAGTAACAACAGCATTGGGGCTACCCATGATGAGTCCCATTTGAGACAGAAGATCTCGGCCCCATAAATTAATAGGTAGTCCATTAATAACATAAGGTTGGATATTACCTTGGTTTCCTTCCTTATCCTTCCAAGTAAGAAGCTTTGAGTTCATCTAAGGATTTTGGCTTTGACCTATTCCTTTTAAGTGAGTCAGAGTGGGATTAAGGGGCCAGGCAGGAGGCCAATCATCTTTTTTGATGATTGTGACATCGGCACCAGTATCTGTGAAACCAGAAAACTGTTTTCCATCCAACCATAGGGTCAAAAGGGGTTTTTGTTGTGAAATTATTTGTGCCCAATGAACACCCGAAGACCCAGGTTTGGAATCACCACGGTGATGTGAAAGTGTTTTGTTGGGTGTCAAAGATAATAGTAAAAGCAATAATTGAGCAAACCTTTGTCCTCGAGAAACAGTTTGAATAGTTTTCGGGGAAGAGGCCATGACCTTAATCTCTCTGGAGTAGTCATTATCAATCACTCTAGGGAGTACCTGAAGTCCCTCAAGGGTAGAACTACTGCACCCTATGACAAGACCAAACAAGCCTGGGGGTAAAGGGCCAAAAACACCCATAGGGAGAGCTTGGATTCCCATGTTAGGAGTCAATACCGTGTGGGTGGAGGAACTGAGGTCCAATCCTGCACTCCCTGCTATGGCTCGGAAGAGGTCTGAAATGGATTGTTGTTTGCCGGGACAAAGCTGGTCACCCCAAAGATTTGTTTGGGTTTGGGGGCCTGGGGCTGGCCCCGATTCCCGTTTC